CGTACACGTAATATCTGTGTGAGAGCAGAGCCAATTCTTAAAAGAACAATGCATATTTAAAAGCACACGTCCAGTTTTGTGTGAGTGAAGGAAATCTGCTTGCGAGTGGAAATTCGTGCTCGCGCATTAGGCCTACATGGATCACGTCACATCATGCGCTCTCGACATTGTCGTTAAGATCGCGATATAGAAGCCGCCTAAAATTAAGTATAAAGAGGAGAAGAAAGCGGTCCTAGGCAGCTGCCTACACATGCCAGGATCCGCCACTGCCAGATGCAGTTAGAAATTTACTAAAAACAAGCCTATCGCAAGACATCTGGTAGGTGGGGCACATGGGGTGGCCAGCCAAATTTAAGGGGGGCCCGGTGCCACCCCTGGCCACCACGTAGACACGCCCCTGCTTGGATGGTTGGGAGAAGTTGCTCTCGGAGGATGTTTTTGTACCATTCTTTATTCATGGCTGTGTTCTTAAGCAAAATTGTGAGCAGAGCCCACACCCTTGTCTGAGAAGCAACCCCACACATGAATGGTCTCAGGATGCTTTACTGTTGGCATGACACAGAACTGATGGAAGCGCTCACCTTTTCTTCTCCGGACAAGCTTTATTCCGGATGCCCCAATCAATCAGAAAGGTGATTCATCAGAGAAAATGACTTTACCCCAGTCCTCAGCAATCCAATCCCTGTACCTTTTGGAGAATATTAGTCTGTTCCTGATGTTTTTTCCTGGAGAGAAGTGGGTTCTTTGCTGCCCTTCTTGACACCAGGCCATCCTCCAAAAGTCTTGGCCTCACTGTGCGTGCAGATGCACTCACAGCTGCCTGCTGCCATTCCTGAGCAAGCTGTGCACTGGTGGTGCCCGATCCCGCAGCTGAATTAATTTTAGAAGACGGTCCTGGCACTTGCTGGACTTTCTTGGGTGCCCTGAAGCCTTCTTCACAGCAATTGAACCTCTCCCCTTGAAGTTCTTGATGATCCGATAAATGATTGATTTAGGTTCAATCTTACTAGCAGCATTATCCTTGCCTGTCAATCCCTTTTTGTGCAAAGCAATGATAACTGCACATGTTTCCTTGCAGGTAACCAGTTAAAAGAGGAAGAACTATGATTTCAAGCACAACCCTCCTTTTAAAGCTTCCAGTCTGTTATTCTAACTCAATCAGCATGACAGAGTGATCTCTAGCCTTCTCCTCATCAACACTCTCCTGTGTTAATGAGAGAATCACTGACATGATGTCAGCTGGTCCTTTTGTGGCAGTTGGCTGTAATACAGTGGAAATGTTTTAGGGATTAAGTTAATTTTCATGGCGAAGAGGGACTTTGCAATTAATTGCAATTCATCTGATCACTCTTCATAACATTCTGGATTTTATGCAAATTGCCATCATAAAAACTGAGGCAGCAGACTTTGAGAAAATTAATATTTGTGTCATTCTCAAAATTTGTGGCCACGTCTGTACAGACTCAAATTAAATCGAATACAATATAACCAAATGTTCAAGACTTGAAGGGTCAAAATGTATAAATGTAAGAATCTGTCAGTGACAAACCCATATTGAGCAACCATTTTTGACATGTCAATATAATAGAACAGAAAATCAAGACTAATGTTACTGTCTTGATTCTGAGACCTTCAAGTGTGACTACCCTAATAATCTCAAAAACATAGTAGGCCTGTTGCAACGTTATTTTTTATTAACTTTTTTTTTTTTTAACTTAGGCTATTAAATTAATAATGATTTCATAAGAATGCCACAAGCAATTAAAGTTCAATTACAGTGGAAGACTACCTCAATGCCATAATTAAGATTTCGAAAATTAAAACAGCAGTAAGGGATCAATTTACAGACAGGTCAGTGGGTTGTATATGGATTGTTGATCATTCGGCTGATACAACATTAGAATTGTATCTTTCCAAAACAATATTTGGTGACAAGAACACTGAAAAACAGTGTTGTGATACTGTAGGACCTCTTGAATGTACCATATCCCTCAAATTGTCTTTTTCATTTGTTAACAATGTATGTTTGCCTTATATACTTGAGTTTACATGTAGTTGTCTATTTGTTCTAAAATCTGTAGGACATATTGAACTTAGTTTCTGTTTTAATTAACAGAACGTCAAAGATGTTGTATGTAGAGCTTGAGTTGTATTTAACCAAGAACGTTCCTTCAACACTTTTAATTGGTTGTGCAGTCAAAAGTGCAATGTTGCTGTGTAACCACTAGATGTCCCTACTTCCTTTAATGTAGTTATCAGGGATTCCTGTAACTTCAGAAACAAGTGAACAGCCCACATTTGTTCTTCAGCCCAAAGTCTGGTTTCTGCTCTTTTTCATGACTTCTGGAATTTAACAAATGCAAATTCATCATTACTGCTTCCAATTCAAGTTTATCTCAAAACACCGTTTTATGTGTTGCAGCATCACACTTCAGTATTACCACACTGATATTATAATGTTTGATCATCATGACTTTGTAGTTTAAATTGGAGATGCAAGTAGGCTACAATAAACAAATTTTGTAGATAGTTAGACTGCACACAGAAATATTAATTTAACAACTTCTTATTTCTTCATTTTTCTTATAAAATAGTATAGCATGTGCAATGGCTTATCTCATTTTAACTAATACTGTCTCCTAGGTGGTCTGTTTCGTCTTACCTGTCAAAACCTATTAGAATTAATCCTGTTTTCACCTGTTTGGACTTGATGTGTACTTTAACACAAAAGAAACAACGTCTCATCTTGACTGTGATTGTGAACCTGAATGAAGCAGTGTTTAACTGAGCAGTAATTGTAGAAATATGAATTTATAACACTGCCTGAAGTCTGAACCGTGAAGTTGTGTTCTGGTTTAACACAGACATCTGATGGGGTCATCGGACATCTGAGTGACAGCACCTGCCTCCGCATACAAATCACGCCTTTGAGGCGGACAGAGCTCTGACGATAGCTGAATACATCAAAGAGAAAAGACAGAGGTGCCGAACCCTTTGGCACACCGTGGCATTTATTTCTTCACCGTATCTCAGACAGTTTATGGACACTAAGTCCTTCTCTTGTTGCCTTTTGTCTATACACCTATCAAATCCTTCCAGCTTTTCTCCCTATATCTAAAATAAAATAACGATCTGATTGTTTTACCTGCCAGCCAAAGGCTATCAAAGTGAAGAAGATAAGGTAAACTAATGTCCAATTGCTGGAGTCATTTCCATTGGATCGAGTTCAGTTCAGAGGGAGATAGGAGAGGGATGTTACAGAAGTTTTAATAAAAACATGTCACTGAAATCACAAGGCGATACAATATTTTTTTTGTTGAGGTTCATTCATGTGAGGGAGAAGAACAAGAACATGTTTTACTAAAGCAATTGCAATCGCCGACCGCCTTCACCCCGAATTGAAGCCAGATCTTGATAAGTGGAAACAATCCGTCTCATTGATTCATTATAAAGCTGCTTTATTTTCCTCACCGCTAAGATGTGTAAAAGCTTACACAGGATGCCTGAAGATATGTATCCAGTAGAGTGGGTTCTATATTTAAATTATTTGATGAGAACTGCAGAAAACTTGGAACAAATGGTCTTGGAACAAAACTAGAAATGTATCGTCTGGTATTCCAAAGGGATTCCACAACACTTATCTGAGATACTATTTCCTCCTGAATTAAGGGATTTAGTATGTCTCCTGTTGGCAAAAAAAGTGAGTAAAAAGAGAAAAGAAAAAGAAAAGACTGTCATGTTGATTTCAGTGCCCCTGGCCTAGACCTGTTCACCCAAAGCTCCAAAAACAACCAAACAAACATCCATACCGGATAGGAGGCTCGCCTGCCAAGTCATGCCAGAGTGAGGCCCTCTGTTTGGGGCACACAGACTTTTGCCTCCCCCTGTCCCAGAGCAATCAGAGCATGTAGGGACGGACACCGAGCTTTTTGTTTTCGCCTGCTCCAGCAATTAGCTGCCAAGTGGCAAGCTAATGAAGATAACCCCCTCCAAGCCCTGATCAGCAGCCAGGGCGCTGACGACAGCTCAAAACACAAAGACTCTTACGGGAAGAAGAGGGGGTAGTTTGGGACCATTTTATTGTTATAATTCTGATTTACAAAACAGATTGTTAAAACTTTAAATTCTGATCCGTCAAGCCTTATTTAAAGAGTTGTAACATTATACAACGTGTGTGTGACTGCACATCATTTGAATTCTACATTAATGCTTCAGGTTGCATAACAGGTTACAGTTACCTGTATACAGCGAGAGGCTTTTGGAACAATTGATTTGCTATTGCTTTGTTTTGGCGTAGTACTTCTGAGGACATTGCATGACTTGCAATACATAGTTGACAAGTACAATACTGGCTGATATATTAAGTCCTTAAAATTACAATAGCTCTTTATTGTACTAGTTACTTGAAAAAAGTAATCTGATTACGTAACTCGCATTACTTGTAATGAGTTACCCCCAACGCTGGTTGTATGTAGTAGATTTAAAAAAAAAAATCTCTAGAGTAACAAAAAAATTTGACGTTGTTTCAATATTTGACTAAATGAGTGTATTAACAGGCTCTTTGAATCTGTAGTCAGAGCCACTGAACTCCATCAGCTCCTATTCACCTTATTTTCCATGGCAACAATGGTGCCGCCATTGCGTTCGTTTTGTCATCTTACTTCTGGCTGAGAGGGACCTACCTAAGATAGTGGCTAGATAACAGAACGCAAATGTCAAGTATTATATGCTCAGTTAGGGGCTGCCATAACAATTGGATTAAGAGAAGAGAACAATTGCACCAACGATGTTACGAACACAATGTGAAGCGGTCGGAGTGTTGTGGTGCACTTTACAATTTACACCCGCCACCTAAAGAAGAGGAGCACCTGAGGCAATGGCTGAAGGTGCTAAATTTGAAGCGCCCACCCAAGTGTATGGGTCCCATCATATATTAATTCTCATGATGTATTTTAAGTATTAATGTAAAAATGTTTAATATTATTTCAACAAATGTATCGATGACCACCAGTGATGCAGTGGACAATTGTGAGGGTGATCACATCCACATGCCCCTGAACTGTGATGCAGAAACACAATGGGAGGATCCATCTGTCTCTGACCACAACTACAGTTCAAAATCACAACTCAACCTGAAGCCACCTACATCTGATATGGGAACACAATGCATTGAGCCGGTGCCATTGTACATAACTCTGCTGAGAAAAAACAACCTTTGTCAGCTATACACAGGGTTGACATTGGATGCATTTCATTCAGTTGCCGAGCACCTTACCAGGTCCAGTACATACACCAACAGCTTCCAGCTACACACTTGGGATCAGCTCCTGATGACTCTGATGAAGCTGCGTCTTAATTTATTGCAGGGTGATCTTGCTGAAAGGTTTGGTGTTTCTCAGTCCATTGTAAGCAAGGTGATTTCATGTTGGATTGACATCATGGAGGAGAACATGAGGGATTACATACCATGGCTTCCCAGGGAGACAATCCAGGCAACAATGCCTCAGTGTTTCAGAGAACAATTCCCAAATACAACATGTGTGATCGACTGTTCAGAGACACCCCTTCAAAAGCCACGCAACCTTGACTCAAGAGGCGAGTCCTACAGCCATTACTACGGCCAGAACACCATCAAATACCTGGTCTCTATTGCACCATGTGGACTGATCATGTTCATCTCACCAGCGTATGGAGGAAGGTGCAGTGACAAATTCATAACTGCAAATTCAGGGTTCCTGGAATACCTTCGTCCAGGCGATGAAGTAATGGCAGACAGAGGCTTCACCATTACCGATCTCCTGTATGAAAGGAAGGTGAAACTTGTCATTCCAGCATTCACCAAGAGAGGCATGCAACTCTCTGAAGAAGACACCACCAACACTAGGCGCATTGCCAATGTACGTGTCCATGTTGAGTGGGTCATATGCCGACTGAAAAACTTCAAAATCCTTTGTCAAACAGTTCCAATTAACCTCACCCCTAAGATTGATAACATTTACGGCTGACTGTAAACCCACAACCCTCTAGCCACTGTAAAGCAGATGCCTCGCTTTCTAAGCCATGGTGAGTTGCTGCATTCCCATGGAACCTGGGGTAGAGGTGCTCTCTGATAAAGGTATGAGGGTTGCCTCTGATGGGAACCTTCTTTGCTGTGCTTGCAGTGATTCTAACCTTACGAGAGTCATGCCACAAGTGAGAGGAACTCTGCTCAAGGGTTCCACGCTCCAATGCTGTACATTTGTTGGGATCAATGGCCACGAACCTGTCATAAAACAACATACACCTCTGGCAGTTGTTGGTGCCATCATGGTCAGCATGTGGTGAGGACGCAGGATGTTCTGGCTCCTGTCCCTGCGCAGCACTCAGACATTTGTGCAGAAGGCTTGACACAGTCAGTCGAAGATGCTTGAGACCCTCTCAGCTCATCCTGGGTGCAAAATGAAGGAGTGGGAGGCAGAGGGACATTTTTGGGCATTACCTCTGGCATCTGCAGCACATCAGTAGCTCGGTGGTGGGAAAAGGTGATGTCCGTTAGCCGCTTCAGGCAGAGGTTCCTCTGGGTCCCCACATTCCAGAGCCGCTGCTCATCTGTGCAAGCAATGCCAGTGAGCCCACTGGACAAAGCATTTTCAACCTGAGACCAAACATATTTACTGATGAGTTTGTATTAGCGCTGGGCAACAATTAATTTTGATTAATCGCATTCCAAAATAAAAGTTTTTTTTTATATATGTGTGTGTACTGTGTATATTTATTATGTATATATAAAGACACACACATACAGTATAAGTCTTACCTTCCATAATATCGAGGCTGCGTGGCTACACGACCTTCCCAAACCAGCGATGCACGAACATCCAGTAGTCTCCACCGATCCCTGCTTACTAACCAGCACCCACGCCGAGTGGTTTGGACTGCTCGACTGGCTGGGGTGCACATTTGCTTTTAAAAAGACGAAATCACCCTCGCTGTGTAACAGTACACGACCCACTTTCCCACTATGTAAATATTGGTAGGCCTCAGTACTTTTATAATTTTTCATTGCTGCTCCATCAACAGGACGAAGAAGTTAAATATGTCCCCATAGGTTACCTCTGGCCACTTCTTCATATCGTCTACCCACGTTAACAGTGACGATGGATGGGACAATTTGAGACCATCTGATCGTCGTAAAAAGTTTTCACCGTGCTCCCAATTTATAACATTTACGGCATTAACGTTCTTTGTCATTTCGCCACAGTTATAGCTAGCTATAAACAATCTTACAACTACTGAACTAGTTACCGGATGTGCCGTATCAGTTTAGCGGAAGTCGGATGACAAAATGCGGAAGAGCGAAGTATTAAAAGTGGGCGGGGCGGAATAAGGTGAATACCCTGATGAGTTAATTGTCATACTGGCTGTTGAATAGGGAATGAGCAACTGAGTTGCATTTCTGTGACCTGGATAACTGAACTGACATGCACTGCACAATGATGAACAGTCTTGACAACACACATTTCACCATTCTTCCTGTTATGTTCCACATCTAATCTTTCAATTGTTTATTTAAACATTTACATACTCTCCTATGGCAATCTGCACTCAAAACAAGACAATCCATAAAGATTTGGATTTTGATTGTTTTAAATATAATTAGCAGACAGTTTTTCTCACCAGGGGGCGCTAGAGCCGAGAATTGAGGCCTCACGGGCAGCTGATTATTCTCAAATATTCTGTAACTGCAGTTCACCTAGACAAACTGCCCCTGTCTGTATGTCTATTCTCTAATGACTGGCAATATTCCTGTAATTTGGGTGTGTCAGCATAACCTGTCTGGTACAGTCTGAAGCCGTTCAACCCAGTGTGATCAGTGAGTGTGGGCCAACTAGCTCTAAAAGGTAGGCTATGTTAACATTCAAAATGCATGTTTTAAGCATACACTTTTTTTACCAGTGCGGTTTACAAAAATATATGTTCTGTTTATTATTATAGGTACATTTTTGGAACACATGATATCAATGCAGTACTGCACAGAACCATTTTCAGTGCTAGATACAAAGAAAAACAATGAAAGCCAAACTAAGAAGGCAGGTAAGGTCTTGAAACACTTTGCATATTATATACATTTATGTATATTTGAACTGGTGTATTTAATGGTAAATGTCCAGAAAAAAAACACCAGAGCTATCATTAAAATGTCATAAAATACACTAAAAAAAAAGCTAAAAAAAGTTATTTTTTAACCCAAATGCTGGGTTCAGCCTGTTGGGTCATTTTATTGGGTTATTTTTAATATTTTTACCCAGGTCATTTTAACGCTGGTTTTTTTTTTTCTTCTACCTAACCGCTGGGTTGACCTTGTCTCCATTGAAACTTCTCAATAACACAGCTGCTGAGAGCACGGGCTTTTTACAGGTGTGCCTCACACATCCTGAAAAGTGAAGCCGCGGGCTCTTTGATCGCCCCCTGGTGGCTGGCTGCAGTACAGGTCATAAACCCCGCCCTCTCCATGTAAACGAATGGGACTTGAGTCAAAATAAAAAAAATAAATTACACTTCCAATACAATTTTCCAAACGATGGTTTTGGTCATTTAAGGTAGTTATCACGCTGATATATGTTCAATTCTTCGTTTTCGTGATGAGTTTGATTTTAGCTAGTAATTTAATGCTATAAAAACGGGGCGTGACGTTATGGTTGATTGGTCTGCGGGAGTTTGATACCATGGCTCCACCTCATGACACTACTGCGCAGACTCTGGCTCCAAATGACCTCATTTACTCAAGATGGCAGCGGCCATACTGAGATGCTTTGGCTTTACTTTTCTATAGTGGAAGGAAGTGTCTTCTTTTTTTACAGTCTATGGCTTTTTAAGTCCACAGGAGAGAGCGGTCCTCAGCGCCGCCGTCGATTTGGTGCACTCTTTCCAGGAAATAAAGGTTTGTATACATTTTATTTAATTTATAAAGTCTTTAATGTGGTGTAAATTATATTATTTTACGCAACGCAACATAAGGACGAGATGTCAGTCAGCTGCATCAGCAGCGGTCGTTTCGCGCGTCGTGTTTCATAACATATATGGATATTATTCGTTATAATACTGAGTGTAATTTAATTTGATGTTAAAATATGTTCTCTAATCTAAGTACAGTTTGTTTTTGGGCAGGTTTTGGAGTCAGTCACGCCATCTCTCAGCTACGAGTGAAACGCGAGGCCGTGGTCTAGAGTTCGCAGTAACGGTGTGTTTCCACTGGCATGTAGCGAGCGTTTTCAATTCATTCCTATAGAAGTTGAGCTTAAATGCTTGCGCGGTGCATTATGGGATTGAAAGCGGCACAGAGAAAGTGTTGAGAGTGGCCGAGAGCATCAAAAAGTTTTGGCATTCCTAGACTTTATGCAAATATCGAGCAAAAAACACCAGGCGACAACCAATCGCTGTGAAAATAAGATGAAATGCATACAGGGTGTAACGTAAACATTGATTTCAGAGGCGTGCTCTGCCCTAAATTTGACACGCCCCAAAGCAGTGGCGTTGTAGCGTTGCCATTTTAGGATAGGATTGCGGCATTGAGAGCAGATTTGACACTGTAGTGGAAACACACCGAATCGCAGTTCCCCCGCGAACAGCAGCTCTTCACCGGCTCCGATTTTGGCGACACACTGGCACGAGAATTAGCACTATTTCGGTAAAAAGCGATTACAGAGAACGGTTGAATACTCTTAAATTAAAATGCTACTTTTAAATGTGCCTTTTTTAATTTCTTGTTAAACGAGTTTAAATGTATGTAATATTGTAAACTATGCTGTATTCACCCAAATAAATTCAATTTGTCTTGTATTTTGTCCATGGTTGTTCTTGCTTAATAATAAATGTTCATCTTTTGATTATTGCTGTTGCCTATAGTAATTCTGTGTGTGATTTTTAATTTCCAACCCATTTTAAGCCAGCAATATAATAATTGTTAAACAATATATGACTTAAATTAAACAACCCAGCATGGTGGGTAAAACCGTTTAACCCAACCAGCTGGGTCAAAATAACCCAGCATGTGTTCTGTCCAATATTTACCCAGCGCTGGGTTGCCAAATAACCCAAGTTGGGTTTTTTTTTTAACCCAGCATTTTTTAGAGTGTATGAACTTTTTTTGTTGTGTATGAGATTGTGAATCTCAAATCAACATTGAGAAATTTCACTAAATGTATTTAAGTAAGGAATTAACCAGAATTTGTAAATATGTATTTACTGTATGTGTATATAATAACATACAATACATATATAATTTACATATTTATTTATTTTTAGAATATATAGTAATTAGTGCATTAAAGAAAATGATTTAATTGCACCTTGTCAAAGACTGTCAAGTATGAAAAGATTCATTAAATTGAGTTTTCAGTTCAATTTTAAGTTTTCAACTATGCATGCATTCTGTTTTCATGGTAACGTCTCAAAGCAGAGTGGATTGGGATAGGGTAGGGTACACATGATGGCACTCTCTGATTTCAGCTTCTGGGGAACGTACTCAGGTGGTCCTATCAGGTGTGAAACTGACTGCTGTAAAGACAGGACCTGTCAAGACAGGCTGGAACCATGCCCAGAGTGAGGGGGTTGAAGGCTTTTTAGGTTTTCTTTTAAAATGTCACAATGCTGTCATTCACTGGTTGATTGCAAGCAGACCAAACTCAACTGTTTTAGTTGAACAGGCATGAAAGTTGAACTGGTCTAAACTAACTAGTTTTCTGATGCTTATTCCTAACTTTCCTCAGGTAGACAGAAGAAGAGTTCGCCACAAGGATCCATTTTTGACCCATCTCTGACTGGTTCAGTCTTTGAATGACGCCTTCAATGGTAGAACCCAAACTGACCTCTGTGTGCAGAGATACCGGCAAGATGATGTCTTCATCCATTTAATTAAAACTAAACTCAGTAATTCTGAATGATTAAAATCTCTTGTTCCCAATAAGTCATTCAGTTAAATCAATGACAGGTCTGGGACCTTTGACGGCAAAAGACTGAGCTTTTG